AACACATACATCTAGTAAGAATTATACATATGCATTATAAATTTATAAATATATATTTATATACTAGTATATATTATATAAAAAATATATAATGTAGGATGTTTGAAATGCAATATTATCCAGACATCAAGGACATATTCACCAAGATAAGAACTCAAGGGCTCTGTCCGCATCAGTGCTTGTTTCTATTCTCCTCATCACTCCTTTTCCACCCACAGGACCTCAGAGGCAACATGCAAAAATTGTGCCAATTTTTGGGCAATCATCTGAGTCCAGAACAACTTGATTCTGTTGTACAAAATTCATCCATTTCAGTCATGAAGGATAATAGGATGTCCAACAGTATAAGGCTAAAGAATCCAGAAGATGAGACTGACTCCAATGTGCCATTGCTGAGAAAGGGTGAGAGAGTTAGAGCACCAAGGTTGTGTTGTAGTAATGGGAAGGTTTCAATGTTTGCATAAAGCATGAGGCATGAAAATTCATGTGCCTGGAAGTTAGCATCGTGTTCTTTCATGTTCTATCAGAAGAGTCTACCCACAAATCCGTTATTGAGATCTTTATAACAATGGTAAAGCAGAAGAGGAATGAGTGGTACCCATGCCCCATCTGCCTGGGCAATGGACATGTCCTGTGTATACACTTAGACCATTCAGTCTCAGTGACAGTGTCCAAGTCTGTAAAAACCAGAGATACAGTTACAGTACAAGACTTTTCAATTCAGAGGGTTTTGTGGATTGCAACAGATGACACGTGTAACCATCCATGGGTCTACATAATACATAGATCGACATTTGTCCATAATAGAATCTTTTGACATATGCAGTGACTTGGATGGATTCCAGTGACTTTATGCTGAGCAACAAAAGTCAACAACATAAATCTATACATAACATATTTATGTAACATTCATAAAATAAAAAATTAATTTCAGATGCAGATAATATTCTGTTGATGTTCAGGGATCCAGGCTGGTGGAAATTGATGGTTCATATTGACTAAAGAAATAGTAGTACTAGGAGGTGTTTGTGGCAATGGACTGTCTGTGTATTTCAGTGGAAATGGCTTACACAATCTCACACGGAGAAAAGTGATGTAAAACACATCCATTTCTCTAGGGAGATTTTATTTTCTGATCATAGCATTGTGTAAAACTTTCCTGAACTTTAATACAACCTTTTGAAGAATAGTTTAAAGACAAATACATTTGGTGCTAATTCTATGAACTGGTACTCTATCGTGTGGTTGCCATTTTTTTCCACTGGTGGGTGGTGGGAGGGACGTTCAGTTTTGAAAACTTCCAAAGTTTTCCTTCAAAGGTTCAAGCCTAGGATTTTCCATGTGACATTTCTGATGCTCACAGCGGCCACACTGAAATCATCTCAAGTCCCATCTCTTTTGTGATAATGCAGTTTTGACAATTGCAAGTTGGTATGAAGTAGAAAGTTATAGGATGCCTCATTTAGTTCTGGATGCTAACTGGATCGACCAGATGAGAGTGTGACAGACTTGGCTGCTCATTGGAGATTTTCGTTCACTTCCCTGGTGCTTTTCCTTCTGTGTTTGACAGGCCGTTGTGGGGACTGGAAGAATCACTTCACTGTGACTCAGAGCGAAGCCTTTGACAAAATCTATCAGGAGAAGATGTCAAGCTTGGATCCTGGGCTTTTCCCCTGGTCAGAAGTTTGATTCCCCTCCATTCCAGACAGGCTTAGTCAGTGTAGCCCTGGCTTTCCTGGAATTCACACTTTAGGCAGGCTGGCCTAGAAGTTATAGATCTGCCAGCCTCTGCCTCCTGAGTACTGGAATTAAAGTCATTCACCACCAATGCCCTTGTGTCTGTTTTAGAACTCTTAATATTATCTACTCATACTTAAAAAAATCTATATGTGCTTGGTTTTTTGTCATCTAGATGCAAATTACTCATCTGGGATCAGGAAATGTCAATTGAGAAAATAGCCCTATCAGATTGGCTGGGAGGAGGGACTGCCCACTCAAGGTGGTGCCATCCATCAAGAAATGGGTCAGGGATGCATGAAGAAAAGCAATCTGAGCAAGCCATTGGGAGAAGGACATGGGAAACAAGCCAGAAAGCATCAATCCTCCATTGTCTCCACTCCAATGCCTTCCTCGGTTTTCCCTGATGAATGACCTGTAAGCTGAATAAATCCCTAACAAGTCTCACAGCAATGGAATGAAGACAACAATGCTATAGTTTTGAGTTGCCTCACAGCACAAAACTCAGAGAAAAGATAGTATTTAAAAAAAAACAGTAGTCTAGAGTAGACATATCTGTCCTAGTTTCCACACCTAAAATTCAAGCAAGGAATTCATAATAAAACATCAACTTATTGTCACTTATTAGTAACCATAACGATGAATTTAACTGATATGGAAGGAGGTTGGCAGAGAAAAGTATGTGTTTGCCTGAGATTTAACTGTATAGTTAGGAGAAACACACAAATTGTCAACACTTTCGTAGTCAGAACTCAAAACAGCCAGAGCTATAGCAGCAGGTCAGCAGTGGAGAGAGCATCATGGCTCTTACAGAAGATGGGAGTCAGGCTGTACCCACACCTGGCCCTCACAGCTGCCTGTAACTCCAACTCCAAGAGATCTAGTGCCCTCCACAGGCAGCATTACCCATGTGCACTCATGCAAACAATTTAAAAGAAAAGTAAGGAGTAGGGATTCTATTATGTTAAGAAAGAAATCTGCACTGCAATAATTATATCATTTAAGTTGAAGTTGAATTTTTAGGGTGGGAAAAAGTCAGGTATTTCTATTACAAAAGCTCAAATGAACTAGCAAGTATTTTATTTCTAGTTCTTAAAAAATAGTTTAAGGACTGGAAAAAAAAGCTCAGAGATGAAGAGTATTCATTACTCCAGCTGGGGACCCAAGTCCGACTCCTATATCTACAGTTCCGGGAGATCTGATGCCCTTTGACACACCAACACACATGTATCCTCGAAGTAAATATTTTCTTAAAAAGAAAAAAGGAATCTAATTATTCAGTGGTTCATGAATTCTGTGATACTGCAACTGTTTAATGCAGTTCATGTTTTATCCCTAGAGCACAAATGGACTTTGGGAGCCCATTCCCTATGGAGGGATACTATTGCAGCCCAGATACAGCAAGGAGGGCCTAGGCCCTCCTCCAAATGATATGACAGACTTTTCAGATCCTCCATGGAAATCCTCACTATCCTTGGGTGGGGGGTGGGTTGGGGGTTGGTAGGGATCATGGGAGGATGGGAGGTCAAGGGAATGGGGACATGGATATGTAAATAAGAGCGCTTCTACAATAAAAGGGAAACGTGATCTAATTATTCAGTAGTCCGCCAGTTCTGGAATACTGCAACTGTTTAATACAGTTCATGTTTGGGTGACCCTCCCAACAACAAAGTTATTTCGCTGCCTTTTCCTAACTGTAATTTTCCTGCTGCTATGAATTGTATTGCAAATATGTGATAAGCAGGATACATGATATGCAATCCCCTTTGGTATTGGGAGCCACAAGTGGAGAACTATTCCTTTAGATTATTAAAATTTAAAATATTGTATAAAAGGACTGACTTCCTTAGTGTGATTACAGCAAATGGAGTAGTGATTAAAAGTTAATATGTAAAATAAGCTTTGGTGGTTTATTATTTGTGTGTGTGTTTGTGTGTGTGTGTGTGTGTGTTTGTGTGTGTGTGTGAGAGAGAGAGAGAGTGTGTGTGTGTGTGTGTGTGTGTGTGTGTGTGTGTGCTTGTACATAGGTGTCTGTGGAAGAAGCCTGGAAAGCACATCGGATTCCAGAGAGCTGGAGTCACAGGCAGTTTTGAGCCACACAATATAGGTGCTGTGGTTTGAACTCTGGCCTTCTGAAGAGGAGGTGGCACTTTCAACTATGGAGTTACCTTTCTAGCCCCTCTTTGAAGGAATAAAGTTCAAATCTTAGGTCGGATCCCTGGAACTTAGAATAATAATTTTTCAGATCAGATTTTCAGAAAGAATTAATTCATGATGTTAACTTGGGAGATCCAGTGATTATCTTGGTGTGCCCCAGATTCTGCACTGTAATGTTGGTGGTTTTTAGGATCACAGCATGAACTATACATTTCAGTTGGATGTTGGCTGCATTGAGAAAGACAGCAAGTGTAAGCATGTCACACACATCATTTCCAACCAGAACTGTAAGAAGATCGGGGTCTCTTCAATTTCAACTCTACCACTATGAGACAGCCATTAGAGAATCATCTACCACTGTGAGACAGCCATTAGAGAATCGTTTATGTTTTCAAAACATGCTTAGAGTTCATTGAATATGTTTTTTTGATCTAAATGTTGCAAAGTGGTGAGGGAAAGTATGTTGGGCAGGACACTTCGAAAGAACAACCCTGGGACCAACTACCCGGTTGTACAACATGGGACAGTGTATAGAGGAGCAATACGATAAAGGAAAAGCTACAGTTTCCAGGTCAACTTTTGCTGTTCTATACCAGATGAACACACCTCTTGCTTGCCTCCTTGATCCAAGGATAATGCAAAATATTCAGGTTAGTTTTCTTTTCCACAGGTTGCAGTAGTATCCGTGATTGCTCAGAAAATGTAGATTTGTCAAGCGTGAACTGAAAAAGAAAGAGTTCTGAAAACAGCACAGTTCTGTTGCTCTCGTGGTACCTGGCACCATTTTTTTAAGTTTAGCATCTCAGTCATCATCTGGAAGGAAACCATTCTGAGCAATGTCATTAAAAACAGCTCTGATAAAGCACGGTCACTACTATGCATCATAAAGCAGGTCCACATATGAGTGAGCACGTATCATGTTTATCTTTTTGTGACTGGGTTACCTCGCTCAGAATGGTTTCTTCGAGTTCCATCCATTTTCCTGCAAATTTCAAGATCCATTGTTTTTTTCTGCTGAGTAGTACTCCATTGTGTAAATGTACCACATTTTCTCTATCCATTCTTCAGTTGAGGGGCATCTAGGCTGCTTCCAGTTTCTGGCTATTACAAATAATGCTGCTATGAACATCGTTGAACATATCTCCTTGTTGTATGAATGTGCTTCTTTTGGTATGTTGCGGGGGAGGGGAGGAGAGGGAGAAGGGATTGACATGTGAAGCAAGCTTGTTTCTGATTTGAACTAATAAAAGAATAAAATAAAAAATAAAAAATAAAGAGTTCTGTTTATTTTTATGACATTGACTAGTGTGTATGTGTTTTCACAGACACCCACTACAGTTCAGATGAAAAGGTCAGAGGACATCCAGCCTAGATCAAAACACAAAGGCACTGAAATATCATAAAAAACTATACCCAAGCCATGTGCACACATTTTTATACCATGCAGAAAAATTTCATGTTTGGACTTAGGGAGCATCCCCAAGACTCATGATCTGCAAATATTCCAAAATTTCAAAGCAATATAAAACATTTCTGCTCTAGTCATAAGCAGTTCATGGACAGTTCTTAATCTGCAGTTTCTCTTATGTAAGCAGATGTCTCCATAAAGGTAAATATTCAAAGCTCTTATATTTTATATGCATGCTCATGTCTGTAAGCAGCACACGTATATACTACTGTGTGAATACATAATCACAGATGACACAATTATATTGTGGCTGTATACTCTTTCTCTTCCATGCACCCCCGTGTCTTTGAGCACATTTAAGGTCTTTGATTGATGGAACAGTAAGTTATCTGGTATGGCTTCCCTGAGGCAATAGGCTGGCAGTCTGTTAGTATGAGCAATCAACCTCAACTTCAGGACAGGAGACAGCACACGGTGTCTTAGGTGAGATGGAGGAAGGCCTGCCTCAGGAAGGAATATTTTTTTCTTATTTATATTCTCATTTGGCCTTGTAGCCAGTGTCTTCCCAGGGGCATCATCTCTTCCCATAGTAATCATATTCGTTAAAGTAAAATTATATATAAGGAATTTTGGAGCTACCCTTGCCTTTTCTGAAGTTGATCTCATGGTATCTCTGTTTGCATTTGCTCCACTTACTTATATTGATACTGAGGCATGGTCAAGTGACTGAGTTTAGTGACGCATGACATGATCCCTTGCATTCCTTACTGGGCATTTGACCCCCTTTATAATGGTTGTGCCCATATGCAGTGTTCTGAAATATTTCCATGGCACGCTCCCCAAGACCAACTCACATGCGTGTCTCCAGGTCACAGCTTGGATGCGTCAGGATTTCACACAGTGGCATCACCCCTTTGTTCTTCAAGGGATTTTCAGCCAATGAGAGATGATTCACCTTGCAGTAGATTAGGGAAGTAGCAATTACTGTTGTTAATGCCAATGACAAAGCTGCTGAAAGACACTGGACTACAGAGAAAACTGCTGAACTGAATCAACCAGTATACTTCAAAGATGTACTGACCTCAGTATGGAAGCCTGGACATGTGTTACGTTGGGGTAGGGGTTTTGCATTTGTTTCCACAGGAGAAGAAAAACTTTGGATAACATCAAAGCTAATCAAGATTAGAGTTTAAAAAGACAACCCTCTCGACAAGGACGACTAACAGGTATTTACGGAGGTATTTCTCATAAACTAAATAGAAACCTCCCAAAGGAAAGGGAAGTGTTTTGTTTCTATCTTCACAGGAAAACTCCTTGTCTCCAGAACACTACATTGGTAGATACTTAAGAAGAGAAGGTAGCTATAGCCATCAAACAAAAGGACCATGCCATACGGTAAACCTTACAGCTGTCTCTCAAATAACTCTATTTCTCTTCATTTCCTAGTCCCTATTCAAGTAAATCAATGCTGGATTTAGAGTTGGATTCGGCTTTCCTCCCCTAAAATCCAAGCACGTTGTTTAAATAAACTTTAGAGTTTCTGTATTGTATCAAGAAACCAATTGATGTAATACAGAACAAATAAAGAATTTGGGGACTGTCTTTGTCTTTCTTGGCTCTTTCCTTCAAGGTGTACAACATCTCACAATCATTACTTTTCCACGATTACCTTTTCCACCATGCATACATATACAAGCAAACATTTCTCTGCTAACACTTATGTTTGAGTCCCACACAGCCAATGAAGACCCTCCTGACAGCAATCCCTGGATGCTCTGGAAAAGGAATTGGGCCTCCTAGACTGCCCTGGATCCAACTTACTCCATTTCACCTGACACTCCAACTAGAGCTTCGAGAACTGACTTCAATCAAGTTGAGGATTTCAACCTAGATCTTCAATCAAACAAATCCCATCTAATATGGACTGGATACAATCCATTAGAGACTTTCCCTATACTAACATTTTCTTCGCACAGGACCCCACAAGGCTATCATGGTTCCATTTCAGCAGGAAGTAACTTGGAGGATGCTACACCCCCGCCCCCATTATTGTCTATTAGGGTAGTATAAGCCTAGTTAGGAATAACTTTACTATTGTTTAGGGTTGGGGTTGGAAGGAGGTGTTTAGGTTGGACATCCCCTTTCAGATGACTTTAGGGTTTAGCTGAAATAGACATAGTTAGGATGTGGGATAGCAAATTACTGTATCTTCTTGTATTTTGCCTTTATGATTGTTAATTTTGGTTATTTTATACTATTAAGTTTTAATCCTCTTTTAGACTAAAAGGGGAATTGTAGGGAGATACCATAACCACGCCTCCTAAGGGCTGGCTACAGGTGTGCCCCAACACGCCCTGGACACATGGGGAAGGGCCCAGGACCAGCACAGGAAGATTTGGTGGACTTTGCAGAGCCCCCATTGAG